CTCCGATATGACCGATAGGACCGCTTCCATGGTGGATAATAAGGTGCGACTCCGATATGACCGATAGGACCGCTACCATTGTGAACAATAGGGTGCGACTCCAGTATGACCGATAGGACCGCTTCCATTGGGGACAATAGGGTGCAACTTGTCATGCGATTTGAAAGGAGAAAATCGCATGGCAATTTGCACTGGTGTGACCGTGGACTAATGGGGGCACAATCAGCAATAACCCCCCCCCCCCCTTCCCTCCATGTCTCCATACCTAATTGGCCTAAATCACTTTCATCTCTCATCTTGAGTAAGGGCAGATTCATGTAGCATTTACTTCCTGGATTCTATCTGCCCTTAGCTCAGGCATGCAGGCAGAAGGGTGTGCTTAGCTGAAGACTCCTGGGATGAATGACATCATTTTTGCCTAGGCTAGAAACCAGGAAGTAACTGAAGAAATGTTAAAAACAAGTAAATGTAACGTACCTTCCTGTCTATTTTTTAATGCTAGCAGCAGGGGAATGCAGTTCCGGCACCTCCAGCACTGAATGTATGTAAAAGGGGTGCTGGGGGATCTATTACTGATGGCTGCTGGGTGATCTATTGTAACTGAGGGGTGTATTTTTGTGTGATGGTCTACTGTTGCTGGGGAGGTCTGTTATTTCTGGTGGGGGATCTGTGGTTGATGGGGGTCAATTGTTTCAGGAAGGGATCTAATGTTGAAGGAGGGGTCTATTGTCTACTGGTGCTGGCTGCCACTAGATCTTTTGTAGCTGCTGGGGGGGTCTATTGTTGCTGGGGTGGCATTTTGTTTTGGGGGTCCATGGTTGTTGGAAGAATCTATTGTTGCTTGAGGAATCTATTGCTCCAGGGGATCTATTTTGCTGCTTTTCTTGTTATCATTAACAAATTCCATACAAATTATTTAGCACCACAAAGTGATACTTGGCTCTGTATTCTCTAAAAGGAGATGTCCTGGGAGGTAGGTACCAAGTGACGGTGCTTGGAAGTGGGGAGGGGGTGGAACCAAGTCACGGTGCTTGGAAGTGGGTAGGGGGTGGAATTAAGTGACAGTGCTTGGAGGTGGGTAGGTGGTGGAACCAAGTGACAGTGCTCAGAGGTGGGTAGGGGTGTAACCAAGTAACAGTGTTCGGAGGTGGGTAGAGGGTGGAAACAAGTGACGGTGCTCTGAGGTGGGTAGAGGGTGGAACCAAGTGATGGTGCTCGGAGATGGGTAGAGGATGGAGCCAAGCGACAGTGCTTGGAGGTGGGTAGGTGGTGGAACCAAGTGACGGTACTCAGGGGTGGGTAGGGGGTGGAACCAAGTGACGGTGCTCAGAGATGGGTAGAGGGTGGAGCCAAGTGAGGATGCTCAGAAGTGGGTATGGGGCTGGAAACAAGTGACAGTGCTCGGAGGTCGGTAGATGGTGAAACCAAGTGACGGTGCTCGGAGGTGGGTAGAGGATGGAGCCAAGTGACGGTGCTTGGAGGAGGGTAGGGGGTGGAACCAAGTGATGGTGCTCAGAGGTGGGTAGGGGGTGGAACTAAGTGGCAGTGCTCAGAGGTGGGTAGGGGGTGGAACCAAGTGATGGTTCTTGGAGGTGGGTAGGGGGTGGAACCAAGTGACGATGCTTGAAGGTGGGTAGGGGGTGGAATCAAGTGACGGTGTTTGGAGGTGGGTAGGGGGTAGAACCAAGTGATGGTGCACAGAGGTGGGTAGCGGGTGGAACCAAATGATGGTGCTTGGAGGTGGGTAGGGGGTGGAAGTAAGTGATGGTACTTGGAGGTGAGTAGAGGGTAGAACCAAGCGATGGAGCTCAGAGGTGGGTAGGGGGTGGAACCAAGTGATGGAGCTCAAAGGTGGGTAGGGGGTGGAACCAAGTGGCAGTGCTCAGAGGCGGGTAGAAGGTGGAACCAAGTGGCAGTGCTCAGAGGTGGGTAGAAGGTGGAACCAAGTGGCAGTGCTCAGAGGTGGGTAGGAGGTGGAACCAAGTGGCAGTGCTCAGAGGTGGGTAGGAGGTGGAACCAAGTGGCAGTGCTCAGAGGTGGGTAGGAGGTGGAACCAAGTGGCAGTGCTCAGAGGTGGGTAGGGGGCGGAGACAAGAAAGGACTCAGAAGGGGGGAGTTTCTGCACCTATTTTTTTTTCTTAGAAAAAAAGTCCTGGCTAGCAGTATTAGGATTATAAACAGTCAGTGTTGAATGAGGGAATGAAGTTCCTCTTGACAACCTCCCTCCTTCCTTCCCTCCTTCCCTCCTTCCCTCCTTCCCGCCGCTCTCCGGTGTTTCTTGGGCTTACTGTTAAAACCAGTTAACAACGTTCCGACGGTGCGTCTGGCTGCTCAGAGAGGCGACGAGAGTCTCTGATCGCCTCTATGGCGTTGGAGGACCAAAGCGACGTCATGACGTCACTTTCCAGTCCGGAGTGGATGTAAACTATTTTTTTTTTCTTTTTTTTTATCTTTTCTTTTAAAGGTAAAGGAGAGATTTGGGGTCTTTTTGACCCCAGATTTCTGCTTAAAGAGGACCTGTCATGTTTATTTCTATTACATGAGATGTCTACATTCCTTGTAAAGGAATAAAAGTGCTAAAAAAAATAATAAAGGGGCAGTGTAAAACACACAAACAAAAAAAAAAAATTTTTAAGCGCTATCCCTCCGTGCTCGCACGCAGAAGTGAACGCATACGATAGTCGCGCACATGTATGTAAACGGTATTCGCCGCACACACGTGAGGCATGGCTGCAAACGTTAGAGCGAGATCAACAATTCTAGCACTAGACCTTCTTTGTCACTCTTAACAGGTAACCAGTAAAAATGTTTAAAGCGTCTCTCTCCTCATTGGCTCACACAGCAGTGGGAGTTATTGGTTCCTGCTGCTGTCAGTCACCGGCAGTGAGCCAATGAGGAGAGAGCGGGGGGCAGAGAGGGTCGAGACGTGCTAAGTGTGAATGGGAGTGAGTCTGCTTGAGTGCCCCCTTAGCAACCAACTTGCTATTGGGGGGGGGCACTCAGCAGGGGGGAGGAGCAAGGTTCACTGGCGGGGGATCGGGAGGATCGGGGCTGCTCTGTGCAAAACAATTACACAGAGCAGGCAAGCATGACATGTTGTTTTTAATTTTATTTTTTATTTTTTTTAATCTTTCCTTTAGAATAATTTTAAGCTCAATTTATACAGAATAGGGCAAAAGTGATTCAATAGTGTCCTTTTTAGCACACGGAGTCCATTGGATGGGGTCAGGGATGGGGTCAGGCAGTAACTCTGCTGGATAAAGTACATTGGATGTGACAGTTTAAAGTTTAAGTAAATATTATGTCATTTGTAAAGCAGGCCGGAATACATGGATTTAGGTATTCTGTACCATCAGGGTGTTGCTGCACATATCCCAGGGGGTACTGAGGAGGGACCCGCACCCAGAAGGCCTTGGTAAGCTGTGACTTTGGGTACAATGTTTGAAAGGAAACTATAATGGTCAATGTTATTTTAATTTGTTTTTTAGTTGATACATTTTAACCACTTCAACCCATATGGAAGAAAAATATATTTGAAATATATTTTAAAAGTATTCTTCCCAAATATATTGACATATATTTGAAATGCTACAATTTTGGCCGTATTCAATATATTTAAAAATATATTTCAATAAATAAAATATATATATATATATGTATATATATACATACACATATATACACAACATATATACATACATATATATATATATATACATACATATATACTGCATGTTGAAATGCCTTTTTATTACAAAAAATATATTTAAAAATATTTTTAAAAATGCATTCAAATATACTGTATGTCTTTAAAAATACAAATCTACATTTGTGGAATACAATTCAATATATTTTAAAATATATTTCAATAAATAAAAATATATATATATATATATATATATATATACTGCATATTGAAGTGTGTTTTTATTACAAAATAAAAAACAACAAAATATATGAAAAATATTTTCAAAATTACATTTCAAATATACCGTATGTCTTTAAAAATACAAATCTACATTTTTGGAATGCATTTACAAACATATGTAAAATTATATGTTAAAATGACTTTTTTATATTTTTTAAAAAAAATCTGAAGAATATATTTAAAAACAATATATTTTTAAAAATATATATATTTAAAATATATTCTTCAGTTTTTTAACATATAAAAAAGTCATTTTAACATATATCTTTACATATATTTGTAAATGCATTCCAAAAATGTAGATTTGTATTTTTAAAGACATACAGTATATTTGAAATGTATTTTTGAAAATATTTTTCATATATTTTGTTGTTTTTTATTTTGTAATAAAAACACACTTCAACATGCAGTATATATGTATATATATATATTTATTTATTTAAATACATTTTTAAATATATTGAATTGTATTCCACAAATGTAGATTTGTATTTTTAAAAACATACAGTAATTTGAAATGTATTTTAAGAAGTATTTTTCATATAGTTTGTAATAAAAACGCATTTCAACATGCAGTATATATATATATATATATTGAAATATATTTTGAAATGTATTGAATACGGCCAAAATTGTAGCATTTCAAATATATTTTTCTTCCATGTGGGAACACCAGACACTTTTACCCTCTTCCTGCCCAGGGCCAATTTTCATCTTTCAGCGCTCTCACACTTTGAATGACAATTGCGCGGTCGTGCGACACTGTCCCCAAACTAAATGCTTTATCATTTTGTTCACACAACTGCTGGTTTTTTTTTTTTCATTTTTTGCTAAATTAACGAAAAAAAGACCGAACTGTTAGAAACGTTTGCAAATAAATAATCGTTCTTCATGAATTGAGGCCGAGATGTACTCTGCTACGTTTCCTTGTTGAAAATAAAATCAGTATTTATTATTTCGTCTGTAGGAAAGTCATAGAGTTCACAAACTATGGGATATATCAGCAAATCGATCAATCCTGATGTACTGACGGGCGATCAAATTTTTTGAGGCCCAAAAATGTCAGGACAGTACAGATATCCCCCAAATGTCAGGACAGGACAGATATCCCCCAAATGTCAGGACAGGACAGATATCCCCCAAATGATAGAACAGTACAGATATCCCCCAAATGTCAGGACAGGACAGATATCCCCCAAATGTCAGGACAGGACAGATATCCCCCAAATGTCAGGACAGGACAGATATCCCCCAAATGTCAGGACAGGACAGATATCCCCCAAATGTCGGAACAGTACAGATATCCCCCAAATGTCAGAACAGGACAGATATCCCCCAAATGATAGAACAGTACAGATATCCCCCAAATGTCAGGACAGTACAGATATCCCCCAAATGTCAGAACAGGACAGATATCCCCCAAATGTCAGAACGGTACAGATATCCCCCAAATGTCAGGACAGTACAGATATCCCCCAAATGTCAGGACAGTACAGATATCCCCCAAATGTCAGAACAGTACAGATATCCCCCAAATGTCAGAACAGTACAGATATCCCCCAAATGTCAGAACGGTACAGATATCCCCCAAATGTCAGAACAGTACAGATATCCCCCAAATGTCAGGACAGTACAGATATCCCCCAAATGTCAGGACGGTACAGATATCCCCCAAATGTCAGGACAGTACAGATATCCCCCCAAATGTCAGGACGGTACAGATATCCCCCAAATGTCAGGACAGTACAGATATCCCCCAAATGTCAGGACAGTACAGATATCCCCCAAATGTCAGGACGGTACAGATATCCCCCAAATGTCAGGACAGTACAGATACCCCCAAATGACCCCTTTTTTGCAAAGTAGACAATCCAAGGTATTTAGTAAGAGGCACGGTGAGTTTTTTGAAGTTGTAATTGTTTTGTATAAATTTTTTGGAAAATGAAATTGAAAACAATCACAGCACATGGTCACATGGTACTGGCAATGGGCCTGTAAACAGATCTGTCATTGGCTATGTCCAAGGTACACAGCTGGTGACAGATCTCGCCGCAGCACGGTCCGTGGGCACGTGCGAGGTGTGATATGGAAGGGATGTCATATGACGCCCACCCGGATCGATGGGCATCCCGCTCGGCCGTCATTCCACTATTGGTCAAACTGCGATTTTAGGCTCAATTCACACTGCATGTAGCAGGAACTTGCATTCTCACTCACGATTTTGTTTGGGGGGATTTTCACGCGTCATTCACTGGGCAGTCCATTCACCGTACGATTTTACCGAAGCGGTTTTCCATGATTCTATCGTGATTTGTCACACGTCAGTCACACCAAAATTTCACCAGTATTGGGGAGCCATTCAGGAAGAACCTCGTGATGCGCATTTTGCCGCGATTTTGGAAGCCATGCGCAGAATCGCACTGATTTTGCCCGCGATTCCTAATCACCCAAAGCGTGAACAGACAATATATCTGTTTTGTACTTATAGAATGCTTGTATTAGCCATTTACTATATGGTAAACGATTCCCAGAGCACTATGGGTTAGCTAAAGAGGCAGCACAGCAGAAGTCGCCTGTCATGGATTGACTCATTCCTCATTGGAAATAGAAAATCACAAATCACTAGGGCCAGGTTAGACAGGAGTCAATTCACCTACCAGCATGTATTTGGAGTGTGGGAGGAAACTGGAGTACCCGGAGGAAACCCACGCAGGCACAAGGAGAACATTCAAACTCCAGGCAGGCACAAGGAGAACTTGCAAACTCCAGGCAGGTGGTGCCATGGTTGGGATTCAAACCAATGACCCTAGTCCCTAACCCTCGAGGAGTGTACAATCTAAGGCCCCTAACTAACATTCATACATATACATACTAGGGATATATTAGACAGGAGTCAATTCAACTACCAGCATGTCTTGGAGTGTGGGAGGAAACCAGAGGAAAACCACGCAGGCACAGGGAGCACATGAAAACTCCAGGCAGGTGGTGCCATGGTTGGGATTCGAACCAATGACCCTAGTCCCTAACCCTCAAAGGGGCGTACAATCTAAGGTCCCTAACTCACATTCATACATACACATACTAGGGACAATTTAGACAGGAACCAATTCACCTACCTGCATGTCTTTGGAGTGTAGGAGGAAACTGGAGGAAACCCACGCAGGCACAGGGAGAACATTCAAACTCCAGGCAGGCACAGGGAAAACATGCAAACTCCAGGCAGGTGGTGCCATGGTTGGATTCGAACTAACCACCCTAGTCCCTAACCCTCAGGGGGTGTTCAACCTAAGGTCCCTAACTCGCATTCATACATACACATACTAGGGACAATTTAGTCAGGAGCCAATTCACCTACCAGCATGTCTTTGGAGTGTGGGAAGAAACCGGAGTACATGGAGGAAACCCACACAGGCACAGGGAGAACATGCAAACTCCAGTCAGGTGGTGCCATGGTTGGGATTCGAACCAACTACCCCAGTACTGCCCTGCAGAAGGCCTAAAATGTTTTCACATGTGTGAAAAAAAAACAAAACAAACAAAAGCAGCTCTGGCAGCGAAAGGGTTAACAAAGCTAAGAAATAACGATCTTTCGCCACCAGTGAGTCTATGAGTGATCATCCTCCAATCCCAGTAGAGCACATGGTAGGCGGAATCTGATTGTTCTCTATGAAGTACAGATCAACTATTCCCGCATCTGGTACTAATGGGCCCCGGGGTCCCTGGAGAGCGCACAGCGGAGTGCTTCTAGTTATCCATTAACTGCATCATGAACTATGCACCAGTCATTTCCCTTCAGTGGATATAGAGGCTTCCTTTAGGTCCTGGTCTGTGAAGGTCGGAGAACACCGAAATAAAGTGAAAAAGCTCCAGAGAACTCCGTTCCCTCCATCGGCTGGTCTTCAAACTCCATTAAATGTTTCTTAAAGGGGCTTCCCAATTTCCAACGGAAAAGATCGTCCTCAATGGAAATCAGAGTGATCTCTAGTGACCTTGTAGGAAGGCCGGACATCTGGGTTGTGGGGGTGTTTGGCATCGCTCCCACCCACATGGAAGAAAAATATATTGGAAACGCTACAATTTTGTCCGTATTCAATATATTTCAAAATATATTTCAAATATATATATATACATTTTTGAAAGATGTAAAAAAAAAAATCTGAAGAATATATCTAAAAAATATATATTTTTAAAAATATGTTTTTTAAAAAATATATTCTTCAGATTTTTTTTAACATATAAAAAAGTCACTTCTGCATATATTTTTACATAGATTTGTAAATGCATTTCCAAAAATGTAGATTTGTATTTTTAAAGGCATACAGTATATTTGAAATGTATTTTTGAAAATATTTTTCATATATTTTGTAATAAAAACGCATTTCAACATGCAGTATATACATATGCAAGATATATGAAAAATTATTTCTAAAAATACATTTCAAATATACTGTATGCCTTTTAAAAATACAAATCTAAATTTTCGGAATGTATTTACAAATCTATGTAAAAATCTATTTGTTAAAATGGCTTTTTTTTTTATATGTTAAAAAAAAAATCTGAAAAATATATTTAAAATATATATATATTTTTAAAAATATATATTTTTTTAATATATTCTTCAGTTTTTTTTTAACATATAAAAAAGTCATTGTCACATATATTTTTACATAGATTTGTAAATGCATTTCCAAAAATGTAGATTTGTATTTTTAAAAGGCATATAGTATATTTGAAATGTATTTTTAGAAATAATTTTTCATATATCTTGTAATAAAAACGCATTTCAACATGCAATATATATATAAATATAAAATATATAGAACATGGCCAAAATTTTAGCATTTTAAATATATTTTTCTTCCATATGGGTAATGCTAACATGCTGCATTTTTCCTGCACTGCACTGGACTGGAACATGGTAAACCGCATCAAAATTGCACCAGACCCTAACAGCACAGTGGTTAGCACTTCCGCCTGGCAGTACTCGGGTTGTTGATTTGAATTCCAACCACGGCACCACTTGCATGAAGTTTGCATGTTCTCCCTGTGCCTGCGTGAGTTTCCTCCGGGTACTCCAGTTTCCTCCCACACTCCAAAGACATGCTGGTAGGTTAATTGGCTCCTGTCTAAATTGTCCCTAGTATGTGTATGTATGAATGTGAGTTAGGGACCTTAGATTGTACGCCCCTTGAGGATTAGGGACTAGGGTCATTGGTTCGAATCCCAACCATGGCACCACCTGCCTGGAGTTTGCATGTTCTCCCTGTGCCTGCGTGGGTTTCCTCTCACACTCCAAAGACATGCTGGTAGGTGAATTGGCTCCTGTCTAAATTGGCCCTAGTATGTGTATGTATGAATGTGAGTTAGGGACCTTGGATTGTACGCTCCTCGGGGGCGGGGACTGATGTGAATGTACAATAAATATGTAAAGCGCTACGTACATTGACGGCGATATATAAGTACCTGGAATAATAATGGTAGCTAGAATTACCTGCACCCCGTAACATAGACCCCGCTAGATGAGATAGATCATTATACTGTATATGATTGCCCAGAGGCCATAAGTGGAGGCCAGAAGGGTCTTCTCTTCCATCCGCACTCCGGGAGTGATTCCCTACATTCAGCATGTTATTGGGTTGGTGTCATCTGCAAATCAAGGCTCGAGATTTTTTTTTTTTTTTCTTTCCAAACGCTATCATGTAATAGTGACCTGTTAAACACGTCCATAATGTAAGACCTAATGGTCTGAGGTCAGCCTTTACCCCAACCCCCACCCACACAACCCCCCCCCCCCCCAGGTTACCTAACGGCCAATTCCCGTAAGTGAAAAATCCCTAATCTCTAATTATGTTAACTGCAGAGAATCCACTAAGTGCTTTAGTGCACCTGGAGGACGCATTCTGTCCTGGAAATCATCAGCCTTAATCCTGTCTAGAAATTGCATTGTCTGGTTTGGCGCGGTTTAAGTAGGATCGCCTTACGCAGTTGTAGCAGCAAAACGCTGACGCAGCATTTTCTAGGAGGGGAAAAACAGCATCTTGTCGACATCTACCTAGCCATTGCTTGAGAAACTAGGTGCCCCAGAATGGCTCCGTTCCATTTCTTCTACATTAAAAAATACACAATGTTGCCAAATGTATTGTCCCCGCCCTCCAAATCATGTGATTCAGGTGTTCCAATCCACTCCAAATCATGTGATTCAGGTGTTCCAATCCCCTCCAAATTATGTGATTCAGGTGTTCCAATCCCCTCCAAATCATGTGATTCAGGTGTTCCAATCCCCTCCCAATCATGTGATTCAGGTGTTCCAATCCCCTCCAAATTATGTGATTCAGTGTGTTCATGTGATTCATCCCCTCCCAATCATGTGATTCAGGTGTTCCAATCCCTCCCCCAAAAATCATGTGATTCAGGTGTTCCAATCCCCTCCAAATCATGTGATTCAGGTGTTCCAATCCCCTCCCAATCATGTGATTCAGGTGTTCCAATCCCCTCCATGGACACAGGTGTATACAATCCCAAGCCCCTAGGCATGCAGACTGCTTCTACAAACATTGGTGAAAGAATGGGTCGCTCTCAGGAGCTCAGTGACTCCAAGCGTGGTCCCGTGATAGGTGGCCACCTGGGCAATAAGTCCATCCGTGACATTTCCTGGCTACTAAATATTCCACGCTCAACTGTTAGTGGGATTATAACAAAGTGGAAGCAACTGGGAACAACTGCCACTCAGCCACCAAGTGGTAGGCCACGTCACATGACAGGGCGGGGTCAGCGCATGCTGAAGCGCACAGTGCACAGAAGTCACCAACTGTCTGCAGAGTCAATAGCTAAAGACCTCCAAACTTGGTGTGGCCTTCAGATGAGCACAACAACAGTGCGTAGAGAGCTCATGGAATGGGTTTCCATGGCCGAGCAGCTGCATCCAAGCCTTCCATCACCAAGTGCAATGCAAAGTGTCGGATGCCGTGGTGTAAAGCACGCTGCCACTGGACTCTAGAGCAGTGGAGATGTGTTCTCTGGAGTGCCCAATCATACTTTCTCTGTCTGGAAATCCGATGAACGTGTCTGGGTTTGGCGGTTGCCAGGAGAACGGTACTTGCCTGACTGCATTGTGCCAAGTGTAAAGTTTGGTGGAGGGGGGATTATGGTGTGGGGTTGTTTTTTCAGGGGTTGGGCTTGGCCTCTAGTTCCAGTGAAGTTCCAGTGAATATTTTGGACAATTTCATGCTCTCAAATTTGTGGGAAGAGTTTTGGGATGGTCCCTTCCTGTTCCAACATGACTGTGCACCAGTGCACAAAGCAAGGTCCATAAAGACATGGAGGAGCCAGTTTGGGGTGGAGGAACTTGACTGGCCTGCACAGAGTCCTGACCTCAACCCCATAGAACACCTTTGGGATGAATTAGAGCGGAGACTGCGAGCCAGGCCTCCTCCCCCGACATCAGTGCCTGACCTGACAAATGTACTTCTGGAAGAATGGTCCAACCTTCCCATAGACACCCTCCTAAACCTTGTGGACGGCCTTCCCAGAAGAGTTGAAGCTGTTATAGCGACAAAGGGCGGGGCCAACTCAATATTGAACCCTACGGACTAAGACTGGGGGGCCATTAAAGGTCATGTGCGTGGAAAGGCCAGCGTCCCAATACTGCGGGCAATATAGTGTAGGTGTGTGCAGGGGCATTAGATATGGAAAGGGGGTGATGTCACCATGCTGCTTTATCCCTGCTGCCTTGGGCGAGTTGTAGTTACCCGTTTTCTTGGGTCTCACTCTCCCTCAAAGCTAAGGTACATATACACTCTCACTTTATTAGGTCCACCTTGCTAGTGCCAAGAAAATCTCCCCCACATTATGACACCACCAGCCTGAACCATTGTACAAGGCAGGATGGATCCCCACCACACCATGACACCACCACCACCAGCCTGAACCATTGATACAAGGCAGGATGGATCCCCCACACCATGACACCACCACCACCAGCCTGAACATTGATACATGGATCCATGACACCACCACCACCAGCCTGAACCATTGATACAAGGCAGGATGGATCCACCACACCATGACCACCACCAGGTACAAGGCAGGATGGATCCATGCTTTCATGTTGTTTATGCCAAATTCTGACCCTACCATCTGAATGTCACAGCAACCAGTCTGCCCATTCTCCTTTTGACCTCTGACATCAACATGGCATTTTCCTCCACACAACTGCCACTCTGGACATGTTCTCTTTTTCGGACCATTCTCTGTAATCCCTAGAGATGTTTGTGCTTGAAAATCCCAGTAGACCAGCAGTTTTTTAAATACTCAGACCAGCCCGTCTGGCACCCACAACCATGCCACGTTCAAAGTCACTTAAATCCCCTTTCTTCCCATTCTGATGCTCGGTTTGTCTTCTCTGCTCCTCCTAAGACCCCCCTGCTCTCTAGCTCCTCCTATCATGCTCACCTCCAGGATTTCTCCAGAGCCGCTCCCATCCTCTGGAACCCCCTACCCTAATCTGCCCGACTATCTCCTACTCAGTCCACCTTTAGGAGATCCATGAAAACTCATCTCTTCAGGGAAGCCCATCTTGCCTTCACTTAGCAAAGTGATTTTTATTTCCTCCATTAGCTCATCACCCCGCCCCCCACAGTTATTACCTTTTATATCCACTGACCCTTCCTTTTAGATTGTTGTTGCCGACCATAGACGGGTCGAAAATCGGCTGATTTTCACACCATTAGTGGGTTAATTGGCCGGCCGTTTTTCTGGCTTTTTGAACATTTTTTTTATGGGCAAGTTGGAAGATTTGCAGCCGATTATATGATCGGCCGATTTTACCGGCAATGATAAAAAATCTGCGCATGAGCCGTGACCTGCAGAAGAAGAAGAAAGGAAGAAGAAGAGAGAAAAAGAAAAGAAGAAGAATTCCAGTCCGCTATTATACTTTATATGAAAAGTCTTGCGGTTGCAACAATGTATCCATTTGTATCCGAATAAAAACATCTGCATCCGAAATGGATACAAATGGATACAAATGGATACAAATGGATACATTGTTGCAACTGCAAGACTTTTCATATAAAATATAATAGCGGACTGGAATTCCCCCGTCTCTGCAGGGACAAAAGCAATTATGGGGTTAAATGCCGGCTATAGATGGGATGAAAATCAGCAGATTTTTTTTACCGTGGTGGTAACGTCGGGGCCGATCGAACGACCAATTTTTTTGGGTTTTTTTAATCAAAACGGCCAGTTTTTTCGACCCGTCTATGGCCTGCATAAGCTCTGTGGATCAGGCCCCTCCTCTTGTATTCCAACTGTACCGTCTCCCTTTATGTTACACATTCTGCTGGCGTTATATAAATCCTGTATAATAAAACCATCTTCAATGTTTGGATATGATTGAACCTGAAGGGCCTATTATGGGATGGATGAGCAGCCAGAATATAAACGCAGCAATGCCAGTACAAGTGTTCTGTGAAGTCTTCTCTATGGGGGTCATGTTTGGGGGTCTTCTCTATGGGGGTCTTCTCTATGGGGGTCATGTTGGGGGTCTTCTCTATGGGGGTCATATTGGGGGTCTTCTCTATGGGGGTCATATTTAGGCTCCAGCAAAGTGGGGCAGTCAATGGCCGTGGCCTGAGGCTATATTTCGTGAGGCTGAACACCACGAGAAGCGGTTGTCCGTCCCAATGACTCGCATAGCTGCCTGCTAATCAAGCAGAAAGAATTTTATTTAGAACAAAAGGCAGGCAGAGGCAGTCCGCGGGCACCCTGACATTGTGACAACAATACTCCATGCGGGACGGGCGTGATGTCCATTGATTGCTCATCATTAAATTTCTGGAGAGGAAAGCCATGGAGTGATACGATGTAAAGCTATGGTATGCGTGCTTAATAATTGCATACTCCATGTGGACGGGTACAACGTCCATTGATTGTATGTTAAATATCTGGAGAGAAAAGCCAGTGGGGGGGAGTGATACCATGTAAAGTTATGGTATGCATGCTTCCTGATTGCATACTCCATGTGGACGGGCATGATGTCCATTGATTGCTCAGCTTAAATTTCTGGAGAGGAAAGCCATGGAGTGATACGATGTAAAGCTATATGGTATGCGTGCTTAATAATTGCATACATCCATGTGGACGGGTACAACGGCCATTGAATTGTAATTAAATATCTGGAGAGAAAAGCCATGGAGGGTGATACCATGTAAAAGTTATGGTATGCATAGGCATGCCTTCCTGATTGCATACTCCATTTGGATTAGTGGACGGGCATGATGTCCATTGATTGCTCATTAAATTTCTGGAGAGGAAAGCCATGGAGTAATACCATGTTAAAGTTATGGTATGCATGCTTCCTGATTGCATACTCCATGTGGACAGGCATGATGTCCATTGCAGGGGCGGACTGACCCATTTGGAATCTCGGGCACTGCCCGAGGGGCCCGGGTGTCAGTAGAGGGCCCCATGAGATGCCCATGGTACCTTTTTCATAGGCTTTTTTTGAGTTTGGGCAAGGACACAGGGGCCCCATGATCCTCTACTCATCCTCTCATTTTCCCGGGGGCCCCATGAGTTGTCAGTCTGCCCCTGGTCCATTGATTGCTCATTAAATTTCTGGAGAGGAAAGCCATGGAGTGACATAATGTAAAGCTATGGTATGCGTGCTTAATGATTGCATACTCCATGTGGACGGGCATGACGTCCATTGAACGCACATTAAATCACAGGAGAGAAAGGCCATGGAGTGACACAATGTAAAGCTGCGGTATGCATCCTTCCTGATTGTATTGTGTGTCAGGTGCGAGGGGAGACATGGAGGATGTCCGATTGGTTACACAAGACTCTTGCTGAGCTATATCCTTCCATTGTAACCCATCACAATCCTCTCATCTCCATCACATTCAATGACAGACGTGATCAGGAGAAAGCGAAGCCCACTCTACCGAAGATGCAATGGAGGGATCAGTATTGATATTCCACTGACTACAGCCGGGCCGTCTGCAGAGCCATTAGAGGAGTCCATTTCCTCCACTCAGGAAGGACTAGAAATGAGGGACGGCCATTCCAGAATCAGCTGATGTTCCTTTATTCATTTATATATGACCTGGAAAAATGATGACCTAAAGTGTTACTAAACCCCGAACCCCGCATTCACTATATATCCGCTCTCCCCGGACCCCGCATTCACTATATCCCGCTCTCCCCGGACCCCGCATTCACTATATCCGCTCTCCCCAGGACCCCGCATTCACTATATCCGCTCTCCCCGGACACCGCATTCGCTATATCCGCTCTCCCCGGACCCCGCATTCACTATACCCGCTCTCCCCGGACCCCGCTTCGCTATATCCATCCGCTCTCCCCCGGACCCCGCATTCACTATATCCGCTCTCCCCGGACCCCGCATTCACTATATATCCGCTCTCCCCGGACCCCGCTCTATATCCGCTCTCCCCGGACCCCCGCATTCACTATATCCGCTCTCCCCGGACCCCGCATTCACTATATCCGCTCTCCCCGGACCCCGCATTCGCTATTATCCGCTCTCCCCGGACCCGCATTCACTAATATCCGCTCTCCCCGGGACCCCCCGCATTCACTATATCGCTCTCATTCGGGACCCCGCATTCACTATATCCGCTCTCCCGGACCCCGCATTCACTATATCCGCTCTCTCCCCGGACCCCGCATTCACTATATCCGCTCTCCCCGGACCCCGCATTCACTATAATACTCACGCTCTCCCCCGGACCCCAGCATTCAACTATATCCGCTCTCCCGGACCCCGCATTCACTATATCCGCTCTCCCCGGACCCCGCCCGCATTCACTATATCCGCTCTCTCCCGGAACCCGCATTCACTATATCCGCTCTCCCCGGACCCCGCATTCACTATATCCGCTCTCCCCGGACCCCGCATTCGCTATATCCGCTCTCCCCGGACCCCCGCATTCACTATATCCGCTCTCCCCAACCCCCCATTCACTATATCCGCTCTCCCCCCGAACCCCGCATTCACTATATCCACGCTCTCCCCTCTCCCCGCATTCACTATACCCCCCGCATTCACTTATATCCGCTCTCCCCCGGAACCCGTCCATTCACTATATCCGCTCTCCCCGGACCCCGCATTCACTATATTCACTATATCCTCTCTCCCCGGACCCCGCATTCACTATATCCGCTCTCCCCGGACCTCGCATTCACTATATCTGCTCTCCCGGACCCCGCATTCACTATATCTGCTCTCCCCGGACCCCCGCATTCACTATATCCAGTCTCCCCGGACCCCGCATTCACTATATCCGCTCTCCCCGGACCCCGCATTCACTATATCCGCTCTCCCCGGACCCCGCATTCACTATATCCGCTCTCCCCGGACCCCGCATTCACTATATCCGCTTCTCCCCAGACCCCGCATTCACTATATCCGCTCTCTCCGGACCCCGCATTCCCTATATCCGCTCTCCCCGGACCCCGCATTCCCTATATTCGCTCTCTCCCCGGACCCCGCATTCACTATATCCGCTCTCCCCGGACCCGGCATTCACTATATCCGCTCTCCCCGGACCCTGCATTCACTATATCCGCTCTCCCGGGACCCCGCATTCACTATATCCGCTCTCCCCGGACCCAGCATTCAATATATATCCGCTCTCCCCCGACCCTGCATTCACTATATCCGCTCTCCCCCGGACCCCGCATTCACTATATCCGCTCTCCCCGGACCCAGCATTCACTATATCTGCTCTCCCCGGACCCCGCATTCACTATATCCCCAGTCTCCCGGACCCTACATTCACTATATCCGCTCTCCGCCGGACCCAGCATTCAATATATCCGCTCTCCCCGGACCCCCCCGCATTCACTATATCCGCTCTCTCCCCGGACCCCGCATTCACTATATCCGCTCTCCCCGGACCCCGCATTTACTATATCCGCTCTCCCGGAATGCGCATTCACTATATCCGCTCTCCCAGACGCCGCCGCATTCACTATATCCGCTCTCCCTGGACCCCGCATTCACTATATCCGCTCTCCCCCGGACCCCGCATTCGCTATATCCGCTCTCCCCGGACCCCGCATTCGCTATATTCGCTCTCTCCCGGACCCCGCATTCGCTATATCCGCTCTCCCAAACCCCCCATTCACTATATCCGCTCTCCCCGAACCCCGCATTCACTATATCCGCTCTCCCCGGACCCCGCATTCACTATATCCTCTCTCCCCGGACCCCGCATTCACTATATCCGCTCTCCCCGGACCCCGCATTCACTATATCCGCTCTCCCCGGACCCTCGCATTCACTATATCTGCTCTCCCCAGGACCCCGCATTCACTATATCTGCTCTCCCCGGAACCTCGCATTCACTATATCTGCTCTCCCCGGCCAACCCGCATTCACTATATCTGCTCTCCCCGGACCCTCGCATTCACTATATCTGCTCTCCCCGGACCCCGCATTCACTATATCCAGTCTCCCCGGACCCTGCATTCACTATATCCGCTCTCCCCGGACCCCACATTCACTATATCCGCTCTCCCCGGACCCCGCATTCACTATATCCGCTCTCCCCGGACCCCGCATTCACTATATCCGCTCTCCCCGGATACCCCCCATTCACTATATCCGCTCTCGGAAACCCGGACCCCGCATTCATCTATATTAGCTCTCCCCGGACCCAGCATTTCACTATATCCGCTCTCCCCGGACCCCGCATTCGCTATATCCGCTCTCCCCGGACCCCGCATTCACTATATCCACTCTCCCCGGACCCGCATTCACTGTTTCCGCTCTCCCCGGACCCTGCATTCACTATATCCACTCTCCCCGGACCCCGCATTCACTATATCCACTCTCCCCGGACCCCGCATTCACTATATCCACTCTCACCCCGGACCCCGCATTCACTGCTATCCGCTCTCCCCTGGACCCTGCATTCACTGTAAATCCGCTCTCTCCAGACCCCGCATTCAGTATATCTGGTCTCCCTGGATCATGCATAAATTACATAAGGGGGGATACGATCTCCATCCAGGGGCGGATTGACCATTTTGGAAACTCTCACCGGCACTGCCCGAGGGCCCGGGGTCAGTAGGAGACCCCATGAGATGCCCCTGGTACCTTTTTCATAGGCTTTTTGAGTTTGGGCAAGGACACAGGGGCCCCATGAGTTGTCATAATCCGCCCCTGATCTCCATGTATAATACATAAGGGGGGATATGATCTCCATGTATAATACATAAGGGGGGGGGGGATATGATCTCCATTGTATAATACATAAGGGGGGGATATGATCTCCATGTATAATACATAATCCGGGGGATATGATCTCCATGTATAATACATAAGGGGGGGATATGATCTCCATGTATAATACATAAGGGGGATATGATCTCCATGTATAATACATAAGGGGGGATATGATCTCCATGTATATATACATATGAAGGTGGGGGGGATATGATCTCCATGTATAATACATAAGGGGGGATATGATCTCCATGTATAATACATAAGGGGGGATATGATCTCCATGTATAATACATAAGGGGGGATATGATCTCCATGTATAATACATAAGGGGGGGAATATGATCTCCATGTATAAATACATAAGGGGAATATGATCTCCATGTATAATACATAAGGGGGATATGATCTCCATGTATAATACATAAGGGGGATATGATCTCCATGTATAATACATAAGGGGGGGGTATGATCTCCATGTATAATACATTGATAAGGGGGATATGATCTCCATGTATAAATACATAAGGGGGATATAATCTCCATGTATAATACATAAGGGGAGATATGATCTCCATGTATAATACATAAGGGGGGATTTGATCTCCATGTATAATACATAAGGGGGGGATATGATCTCCATGTATAATACATAAGGGGGGGATATGATCTCCATGTATAATACATAAGGGGAGATATGATCTCCATGTATAATACATAAGGCGGGATTTGGCCATGTATAAATACATAAGGGGGATATGATCCTCCATGTATAATACATAAGGGGGGATATGATCTCCATGTATAATATACATAAGGGGGGGAATATGATCTCCATGTATAAAATACATGAGGGGGATATGATCTCCATGTATAATACATAAGGGGGGATATGATCGCCATGTATAATACATAAGGGGGGATATGATCTCCATGTATAATACATAAGGGGGATATTGATCTCCATGTATAATACATAAGGGGGGGATATGATCTCCATGTATAATAACATAAGGGGGGATATGATCTCCATGTATAATGCATAAGGGGGGATATGATCTCCATGTATAATGCATAAGGGGGGATATGATCTCCATGTATAATACATAAGGGGGATATGATCTCCATGTATAATACATCAGTGGTTCATATAGTGAACTCGGTGTAGTTATTCCCCCTGAGATCATCACAGAGGACAAGGGGGCACTCTTTACATCTGGAGGAAAAGAAATGTAATCTCCAAAAAGGTTTCTTCACAGTAAGAGCTGTGAAAATGTGGAATAGACTCCCTCCAGAGTTGGTTGTGGCCAGCTCAGTGGATTGCTGTAGGAAAGTCCTGGATTCTTTCTTGGATACACAGAATATAACTGGATATAACATTTATAGGGAAAGTTGATCCAGGAAATATCTGATTGCCTCTCGGGGGATCAGGAAGGAATTTTTCCCCAGCAGGAGCAGATTGGATCGTGCTTTTGCTGGGTTTTTTGCCTTCCTCTGGATCAACTGTGGGTGTAGGATTATAACTTTTTTTTTTTTAATGGTTGCACTGGATGGACTTTTGTCTTTTTTTAGCCAGAATATAACTATGTTTCACTCAGGGATCAAATACTTATTTTACTCACTGAACTGAAACTCCATTTATAACATTTGTATCGTGTTTTTTTTCTGGACTTTTGGTTGATGTTCTGTCTCTATCATTTATAATACACCCATGAAAAAAATGATAGATCCTTAATTTCTGTGTAATTAGACAAACTTACCAAATCTGCAGGGGATCAAATCATTATTTCTATTTCTATACTATATATTTTTATTATTTTCCCACTGTATTTGCATAGTCCTGCCCAGCACATAAATGGAGGAGTACTTGCAGAGTAGTGACATTGCTGGTAGCAGGGGGGGGGGGGGAGCGCTTCTGTAGCTTGGCTTGCAGTCAGGATATCTGGCACAGATCTGCGTCCCCCCCCCCCACCACCACCACCCTTTACTCAGCTGCAGCCACTCTGTGAACAGAATCTTTCTGTATCTCCTGGCTGTTCACCCCGCGGTCATTGGAAGCCTTTTATTCCATGCAGTTCTGGAGACAAGGAGCGGGCTACTTGTCAGGTCTCTAATCGCTGCTAAACGCATGCCGCAACCTGCGTCTGATGGCGGTGGGATGATGCACCACCTTTATGTCACCCTAGTAGTCTGGCACTGCATCAAGGAGAGGATCGCTACTCATGATGACTTCCACCCAGGAGCGGACTGACCATTTGGAAACTCGGGCGCTGCCCGAGGGCCCGGGGGTCAGTAGGGGGCCCCATGAGATGCCCCTGGTACCTTTTTCATAGGCTTTTTTGAGTTTGGGCAAGGGCACAGGGGCCCCATGATCCCCTATTGCTCGGGGGCCCCCATGAGTTGTCAGTCCGCCCCTGCTTCCACCAGCCTGCCTTCGGCCCAATAGTGGAGAAGTTGCAGTCTGGTTGGTGAAAGTTCCGTGTCCGCTCATGTCCGTTCACAGCTGTCTTTAGTGACCTGAAGATCCCATAGGGCCAGTTCACACCACATGCAGTCCAGTACGTTCTTTCTCTGCATCAAACACATATGTGCAGTAGGGTACATGGCTTCCAATGGCCTAGTAGTTCACACCGATGTGGTCAGTTCCAGTGCGTCCCAGTGCAGAAATAAAGAAGTGAAACTGGCTGCATTTTTTTCTGCTCTGAACTGTACTGGAATGGGGAAAAACACATCAAAAATGCCCATCATTGGTGTCAGTGGGAGGAATAGTGCCCCATCATTGGTGTCAGTGGGAGGAATAGTGTCCCATCATTGGTATCAGTGGGAGGAATAGTGCTCCATCATTGGTCTAAATGGGAGGAATAGTGCCCCATCATTGGTGTCAGTGGGAGGAATAGTGCCCCATCATTGGTATCAGTGGGAGGAATAGTGCCCCATCATTGGTGTCAGTGGGAGGAATAGTGCCCATCATTGGTCTAAATGGGAGGAATAGTGCCCCATCATTGGTGTCAGTGGGAGGAATAGTGCCCCATCATTTGGTGTCAGTTGGGAAGAATAGTGCCCCATCATTGGTGTCAGTGGGAGGATAGTGCCCCATCATTGGTGTCAGTGGGAGGAATAGTGCCCCATCATTGGTCTAAATGGGAGGAAATAGTGCCCCATCATTGGTGTCAGTGGTGGAGGAATAGTGCCCCATCATTGGTGTCAGTGGGAAGAATAGTGCCCCATCATTGGTGTCAGTGGGAGGAATAGTGCCCCATCATTGGTGTCAGTAGGAGGAATAGTGCCCCATCATTGGTGTCAGTGGGAGGAATAGTGCCCCATCATTGGTGTCAGTGGGAGGAATGGTGCCCCATCATTGGTGTCAGTGGGAGGAAATAGTGCCCCCATCATTGGTGTCAGTGGGAGGAATAGTGCCCCATCATTGGTGTCAGTGGGAGGAATAGTGCCCCATCATTGGTGTCAGTGGGAGGAATAGTGCCCCACTCATTGGTGTCAGTGGGAGGAATAGTGCCCCATCATTGGTGTCAGTAGAAGGAATAGTGCCCCATCATTGGTGTCAGTGGGAGGAATAGTGCTCCATCATTGGTGTCAGTGGGAAGAATAGTGCCCCATCATTGGTGTCAGTGGGAGGAATAGTGCCCCATCATTGGTGTCAGTGGGAGGAATAGTGCCCCATCATTGGTGTCAGTGGGAGGAAGGAATAGTGCCCCATCATTGGTATCAGTGGGAGGAATAGTGCTCCATCATTGGTATCAGTGGAGGAACAGTGCCCCATCATTGGTGTCAGTGGGAGGAATAGTGCCCCATCATTTGGTGTCAGTGGGAAGGAATAGTGCCCCATCATTGGTGTCAGTGGGAGGAATAGTGCTCCATCATTGGTGTCAGTGGGAAGAATAGTGCCCCATCATTGTGTCAGTGGGAGGAATAGTGCCCCATCATTGGTGTCAGTGGGAGGAATAGTGCCCCATCATTGGTGTCAGTGGGAGGAATAGTGCCCCATCATTGGTATCAGTGGGAGGAATAGTGCTCCATCATTGGTATCAGTGGGAGGAACAGTGCCCCATCATTGGTGTCAGTAGGAGGAATAGTGCTCCATCATTGGTGTCAGTGGGAGGAATAGTGCCCCATCATTGGGTGTCTGGGGGTGGGAGGAATAGTGCCCCATCATCATTGGTATCAGTGGGAGGAATAGTGCCCCATCATTGGTTTCAGTGGGAGGAATAGTGCCCCATCATTGGTGTCAGTGGGGGAAATAGTTGCCCCATCATTGGTGTCAGTGGGAGGAATAGCGCCCCATCATGGGTATCAGTGGGAGGAATAGTGCCCCATCATTGGTGTCAGTGGG